GGTCTCTGGGACCATCTGGTACCAAGTCCCTGCACAAGCCCAATTCAGAGCAACTGATCGTCTAAACCCTGGTCCTAAATCAGGCAGAACAGAGAGTTGGATAAAAGCAGAACAAAAATAATTTTTTAAACCTCAAAAGCTGCCAGATTTAATCAGAATTAAGAGTGAGTTTGGCAGAGGCAACTGTTCTTTTCCTCTCAGTCTCCATTTGCCCTTACACCACCACCCTTTCACTCCCAGTTCTACCATCCATTTTGGTCATGCAAGATAAACCACAGAACTCACTGAAAGTTCTCACTTGGGACAGCCAGGGCTGAAACAGCAAAGACTGAAAACTTTCTGGTTGAGGCATACAAGTATGTTTGCACAATTCTTACTCACAGGCACGTACCATTAGTAGCTACAAGTCCTGAACTGACAAATTTAGAAGTTAAACATCCATATGCTGAATATAGGTTCTCACTGCAAAACCACCAGCATATGCTAAACTCACCTTCTTAAGAGCATGACATTTTTCAGAAGCATGGTATCTGGATACTTTCTCTAATTTGGAGCATATCTTTATATTTATGCTTTTCTAACTTACTGACAGTTATGCAGGCTCTCAAAAGCTTTGGTGTTTGCCTTATTCTGTTAATTTCAGCCACATGTTTTTTTCTCACCTTTCACTCAGCTTGTCAGCACTGGAATCTATGAATCCACTTCATTTAAAACGTTTGCTTCTTTATATGTACTGCAGATTGTAATCCATCTACACCTCTGAAGGAAAGCAGCCCTTTTTTCCCCAATGGAAATGCAACCAGGTTCCAGGAACAACCAACCCGTTACTAGATAGGTGAATTCTGGAATGTCAACATCCAAACTAGCGTTACAGACAGAATAAATCAACATTAACACTATTAGACACTCTCTATAAGAGGGTATACCGGCAATCATTGAAAACTGCAGTTTTCTCCCCCCTCCTGGTGAGAGGTTACTCTCGTGCTGTTTTGTTTTAAATATGGCGGGGGGGGAAGTATGTCAGCATGCAAGAAATTCCAAAAAGCAAACAGAAAAGCATAGTGATGAATACAGAATTTTATTTTTACCCCAACAGAGATTTATCACTGAGAGAGTCTTGTGACTTTGACAAATTTTACAATAATGCATTGTGTATACAACCTACAGTAACTGACAGAGAATAATATATTCCATCTGCTGGAGATGTCCCAGGAGGCTGACCTTCAAGGTCCAAAAACTTTCACATTTTTATAATTTTTTCCTCCCTAATAAAAAGCATTATGAAACAGCTATTCAGTTCATTTTGAGAAGCATACATTGCAATGAATAGTTGTTATTTGAAGATTAAACTCAAGCGCATGTAAAAGATTTCAGTTACGCTCAAGTGTTATTTGTTTTTCTTCTCTTTGGATCCTTGTATGACCTGCCATTCATTCTTGCTATCATAACTATCATTTGATACTTAAGTGCCTTCTTTAAATCTCACAGGAACATTAAAGATGCCCAAGAGATCATACATGTCTTATCATCCTGATAACAGACCCTGCTGCAGGTCAGTATGCACGCAGTAGTTAACAGAAGTACAGGTAAAGATCAGTTTCAACACTATAGAGAACAATAATAGCTATAATTTCAGGTGAGAATGAAGTCACTGAGGGTTTTAAATCACTACAGGAAAAAAATTAAATCATACACTGTGGTTTCAAAGAGTTCCTCAGAAAAAGCAATAGATATCCATGAAAAGGATATACTGCAGTAGAGTATCTTCAGCATCATAGTTATTTTCCAGAATTGTTTTTCTTAAATCCAGGTTTTCTTTAGCTGTTCCTTTTTAGTTTCTTTCTAAATAGCTTCCTCATTTTGAGAGGTTTGACTTCAAACACGGAAACTTAATGCACAAGACTTTTGGCCATTCCACTCCTGCAAGTTATTAGGGTTATGGAGTACTCTACATTAGTCACACCCTAAAACTCATGCATGGTGCAGAATTAAGTCAGGAACTGTTTTCCTTTTAGGTTATCAAGCATTTGTTTCGAGATTCCATTATTTGTGGTATGGAAAGACTTAGTTTCTACATTATGCACTATCCAATAGATGTTTTTATTACAGATACACAAGTATCTCAGAAACTTTGATGTTGATCACATCTATAGGCTTTATAAGGCTTCCCTTTTCTCAAACCTTCTTCCTATAGAAGAGGAAAGCATTTTTGCCTAGCTTTGAAAGACATGCCTCCTAACCAAGTTTTGAGCAAGCCAAAATGCTGGGTGGACGTGGATACATGAAAAAGATATCCTAAGAAAAACCCTATTTACATGAGAAAAGGTGCAGTCACACAATGCAGTTCCTGAATTAAGGTAAACCCCTCCTTTACCAAGGAAATTTTAACTTAATTTCAGCCTATTTCTGCCCAAACCAAGGAATTTTCTTAGTGGGACTGTTACTCTGTTGCCTGCACTTGCCAGGCATTTGTTTCAGGTCTCCCTACATTCTCTCACACATCTGAACAGAGCAGCAGACTAGAAGAGCTGTTTTAAAGCAACAGCTCTGCTCCTCCTAGGTCAGGCCTATAAAAGTGTTCTAATCCAACATCGAAGTTTGCCATCATCTGTAAAACATCCAGTCCCCACAACTGATGAATACAATATTCCACTATAGCAACACTGAAATAGAAGCTGGCACGGCCCTTTTCGAATGCCTTTTTTATTATTATTATTTTCTCTCTCTTTTCTACTTTCAGCTTTTTAAGAGGAAAAAAATACCCTCATTTACAGGCTCAAAGCCTAGTACTTCCACTTCCCAAGAATAGAAGCCTATTAATTCTGGCAAGAAGAACTTCACTGAGAAAAATCAGGTTTAAACTTTTGAAAGGTGTCAAGAACGTTCAGTCAATTGAGCAATCGAGTTAGCCAGCTACATTCCTGGAAGCTTTGCAACAGAAGGAATAAATCAGAAAATCAAATGAAGTGTGACTTACCCCCCGACACTGGCTAAGGCAAAACGTGAAAGAAAATGAAAAATAGATAAAAATTTAATTGGTAAGGGAATAATATGCATGGCTGTCTCTCAGAACAAGTTAGACCAGCTATAATAAAAGTACAACAAGAAAACATTTTCAGAAAAAGTGGAAAAAAATTTTCCTCTATTACCAAGCTGTGAAGCAGGAAGAGATAGAGGCTTGTCTTTTCAATCTCTTTCCTCTGATGCACAGAGCTTTGCTCAGAATATGAACTTTTAAGGAACATAGCTTAAGTGAATAAATGTGCACTGGCAGAATCACAAATACAGACAACATAGTCCTCAACATCTTAACTGTCTTCAGTATTGTTAGGAGTTACACAACACTTTGCTTCTGTCCATCACCAGCGATGCCGCAATATCAAATTATGCTCAAAGTCTTCTATTACATGGCCAGCAAGGGAAGCTGCACAGCTCTAATAAACAAGCTCAGAATTAACATAGCATTCTGTTAAGAGACACGTAGTTAAAAAGCAGCAACTTTATTTATAAATCATACCCTTTGTCCCCTTTCCCAGAACCCTATAAAAACACTGGAAATACCAAACAACAATTAATACCACCATTGCTGAAAGCATTCTGACCTCAAAGTGACAGATAAAAGGTTTATATAAGACTATGAAACATAAGGGGTAACAAAAACCTTCATCAGTGGAAGAAGGAAACTCTTCTTCCTGCCATGGCAGTCCATGCCTATCAGTTGTTCAAAGGTCTTTCTAAATCCCTGTGGGAGCCAGATGCTCCTACCCCTTACAGATGTGCCTCAATATGGCCCAGCTCTCAGCTCTCTGCTGTTCCACATCTGACTGCTCTAGCATAGATGACATAGGTTGCTTTGACTTGACAATACAATCTAGCAACTCTGTAAATGCAACCTGTGAAACTACTACCTTTATGTTCAATACAGGAGACACTACATATTCCCTCTAGGGACTAAAAATAAAGTACTTTTTATTAAAGAAACCATCACATCAAGACTACAGCCATACTCTCTCCAGGCTGAAACTCCGTGTCAGCTTCAGTGTCACGTAACAGAAGCAATTTTATACAGAATTGATGTTAAGGTTTATCAAAGACAGATGAAAACCTAAGTAAAAACACCACATGATAACTAACATACCTTTGACTAGGGCCAGCATCTTTGGATATCTCAGTTAACTTGGCAAGGCTTTGCATGCCTCTAGGTATGGAGCATAACTCCTCAGACTACAAGGAAACAATCTCCCCTTGAGCTAAAGATTTAGCAGATCCAGAACTGGTATGTTTCCACAACCCCATCAGACAAAGGAAGTCAACACAAAAGTGGAAAAATCAGGTTTCCAAAAACCCCTCACTTTATAGTAAACAATACCATTTCATACCCACATTTCTAGTACAAACTTAATTAAAAATGGAATTTTACAAACAAAGCAATATCTTAGCTCAGTAGTGAAATTCAGCCGGTTTCCAGGTTGAAATACAACAGCCACTTATAGCAACACACAACACTTTAAATGAAGCAAGAAAAAAACCCCACTTATCAAAACCCAAGACAGGCATAAAAATATTTAGCCATTCCTATCCCAATTTATTTCCACAATATTTAAGAGGGTGCTGTAAAAGAAGTAAAGATATTTTTCCTGGTTTATTTTCCTTCCTTCAGACTCTGTAGGAGGTAAAGTTTAAAGGTGGGGTAGATCTGAGGAAGCTTTCCATTCATCTCCGAGATAAATCAAAAGAGTAGAATTAACAATATATACAAAATCTTAATTGAGTTAACTTTGCTAAGCAAAGAAAGCTCTTTTAATGTTCACACCACATGAATCTAAAGATTTTCTTTAAATTGTGTCCCCCCTGTTTTTGTTATGTATTTGTCCTTGGCTTGAGGCATCTTGCTTTACTGATTATAGTTTTAAATTATTTTTTCATGGAAATTTTCCCTTCAGCAGTTCAATTCACTTTAACATTGTCTCTTAACCTGAACATAAGTGAAAGTAAATTACCTCCTGATTCACCAATGTAGAAAGTCACATCTTTTTTGTCTTCTTGTTCATCAACATGATCATAAGTGATCTGTGGAACAGACAAGGCATTCTCTCCTGGGTTTATTACAGGTGCAGAACCATTACCACAGCCTAGTTTCCCTTTTCTTTTGTATCTTCTAGCCTGTGGTAGTAGAAATGGGATGATATCAGAAGATACTATCAAAACCAGAAAAGTATACATGTGAACTTTACTGTAAAGTAAATTCATTTGAGGGTTTGTTTTTTTTTAAAAAGGTAACTGAAATTCAGTGAAAGTGTTACATCCTTGATTAATGTCTTGAAAGTGGCCAATTATGAATTATCAACTTAAATCTGGTAAGAATTTGATTCTCAGAAGACACCTAGCACATTCTGAAAAATCAGGTCTCAAAGTAAGGTTTCTCAAACTGGGTGCAGAACTCAAAGCACTCAAAATACGAGTCACTTGAGTATACAACAGCTTGGCTGCAACATTTTTCTAAAGCTGTAATTAAACATAACCATAGACTTTTAATTATGAGCTAGGCACTATGCAGCTTTCTCAAGTAAAGAAAATTTCACCAAAAAGGCTGAATTAGGCACAGCAGAAGATAGATCCTTTCTCATGCCTGCAAAGTTGAAGTTCTCCTGATTTTAGAAGTATAAGAGGCAACCTAACAAGCATCCTACAGGTGGTACATAAGAACAAAAAATGAAAGTCTGAATTCAATTGGTTCCAAGAAAGGCTGGTCTTCATCTGCCTTTGTGATGAGAAGTGACCACCATAACAGCCACTCACATACTGATTGCACATACTGTCTACTGCCGCCACCTAGCTATATAAATGCTATTTCTCACAGTATAGCATTTATTTCTGGTCTTCATGACTACCTACCCTTTGGCTCTAGTCCCACCTGGTTCTACTACACACACACCTCAAAAGAGGCATACTTTAACTTGCCTGATGCTCCAGTAGCCTTCTGACAAGGAATGGAAATCTAGGGCTACTGCACTGAATTCTACAAAGTACTCTGGCCTCTGACATGACCACTAAGCAGTTAGTAGAGATAAGCATCAGAGAGAGTGAGTATTCACATATATCGACACAAACAGCTGCAGGCTCAATATATTCACAAAAGGGACAATGGTATTTGGCCTAAGTAAACCAGTTCTATTTTATTTTTTTTTTTTTTATGATCTGTATTCAGTCTTTTGGAATTCATTCTTCTGTTCAGCTCTGCAGCAATTAAACAAAAGCATGTTTGAAATTAATCAAACAGAGCACAAAAAATGGTAGAAATGGGCATTTGATGCACTACCATGCATCAAAATGCTTCTAAAGGCAAAGATTATGGGCTCTCATAGCAGGAAAAGCAGCTAGGAATTCTCTGGAGAGCAAAGTGCTACAACATACACAAGCTGGTCAGTATACATTCTAGTCTTTAAAATAAGAGGCTAGGTAGACAAAGAATGACCTAGCCTCCTTTGATAAGAGAAGATGATCCATTAGTAAGAGAAGAAAGAACCATTGCTATGTTCTTGAATTAGGGTTAGCAGCTCACAGGGAAATTCAAGTTTAATAACGTATTAGGGAAATCCCTCTCACTAGAAAAAAAAAAAGTAAAGAGGGAAAATACCAAGGACACTAAAAACTAACTGGTTTTTCGAGCTCTCCCAGCATGTGTTGCTTGCTGTTCAGCAACACATACCACCCAGCCTTACCCCTTTCCTCCTGGTTCTTTTGCCTCTAGTTATGAAGTAGCTAGTCTCATGGCAAAGTTACACTCTGCTCAGCACCGAGTAGATCACACTGCTTTAACATCAAAACATATGCATGCACACAGATCATACTGACAGTTTTCTACACATGCTGTGGAGGAGTTGTACTACAACTCTCTGCTGGGCAACAGGCATCAGTGGGATTTCAGTACCTAAAACCAGGCCTCTAACATCACTTTAGAAATCCTGGGTATCTGAGCTAGACCTGCTGCAGACCTGGGCCTTTCCAGAAGCGGTGCTGAAGGCTAGGCAAGCTTGCCAGTGAAACTACATACCTGTGTTTAGGCAATCCCACCTGTGCAGACAAATACTATTCCACTCTATTGCAGCCACAGCTCAGAAATTTCCCAAAATTTCTACACTCAGACCCAAATAAATTACCATGGAGACAAGTACTTGAGCAAGACAAGTATAGATACTGTCAGCCACATGTTGAGTATTTTTTTTTTTTAAACTAGCTTTCTCTTTTCTTCCAGTATGAACTACTATGCAAAAAACGGGAAAGTGTTACTATTGACTAACACTACCCTTTGAGGATGTAGAGGATACTTCAAAGTAGACAGAGCAATGGAGAATCAGCACCTATCATGCTACCAGGGCAAGTTTAAAAATAGAAGACGTTTGTCCCTCAGGACTATTTTAAGGAAAACTAAACTTATCATGCTGCAGCATGAGGAAAACAATTAAATGTCCCATTATAAATGCCCTTCAGGTCTCCACATTCTCTGGACACTTCATAAGGATTTTGGCAAATTATCCCAATCAAATTAAAAGCGAGAACAGAATAGGGGAGCTCTGCCAACTCCCTATTACCTGTTTTCTCAGACTAGGGCTAGATGGCGCTGGTGGTTTTTTGGGATTTTGCACCGGTGATGTAACATAGATCTTCCATGTTGCTGTAGAACTGCAGGACTTCTCAGCTGCGTAGCACCGCCACAGAGTCTATAATAAAACCCAAACCAAATAATGTCGGTGAATAAGCAGTCACCATTGTCCTGTTGGACAGGTAAGTCAGATTTTGCTGCAAACCAAACTGACAGCAACATTTTCAATCAATGTAAACATGCTGCAAAGGGTTCTGTCTGCAATCACTGTACTATACCACACAACATCATGCCTAATAAAATACAGTCTTCCCTGTATATAACTGTAGTGAGTGTAATTTGCACCAGGAAACATACACTCAGTACACAGTGATTGTAAGAACACTCTTTGCAGTGTTCTCCCTAGGAGCTGAGGTCTAACCCTGCCCACAGTAAAAAACAAACAAACAAAACCAAAAAACCCCCCCACACCAAAAAACCCCACACCAAACCCAAAACCAACAAACCAAACAACACCCATAAAAATGAATCCCCACAAACACCATATAATCCTGCTGCTTCCTTTTTTTCTGCAGTGTGCCACACTTCAGTATTTGTGCACCGTGCTATTGCATTCTTTATATTATCATATAAAATGTTATGCAGGGAGATTTTTCTAAAGTGAGGTGTGTGTATACATACATATGTATACACGTTCATCGCCTCAGGATTTGTCAGATGCACAGGACCTAAGGGAATATAAAAAGCTAGACAGGAATTAAAGATTATAACAAAGATTTATTTTTTTTTTCTGTTTTGCTGAATAGACTCATCATATCTACTTAGTGTCACTATGCCTGTGAATATCAGGCTAGTAAAGCCTCCTATGCTCACTCATAAGAGGAGGGAGAGGCAATTGTCTAATTCTCTCTAGTGACTGAAGTGAATCAAAAAGACAAAGTGGTAAACACAAGTTATAGATTTATAATAAAGCCTAGTAACAGTTATTCTCAGCATTTTAACTACTAGGCCAACCACCTTCTCCTAAGCATTTTACTGTTAGGGGCCTTACCTGAATTAGGGACGCGGCAGCTGGGATTTGTCTGTTGAAATGCTTCTGACGTTGCTTCTGCTGTACTTTCAGCGCAAAACCAGACCCCAGAATACCCTAAATATTAGCAAAATTACTAGTCACACTCCAATATGGCTTCACATACCTAAGCCACATACTTAACATGAATTAAATGGATATTTTAGAAGAGGCTTTCCTAGAAAAATATTTTCAAGTGTCCACAGTGACAGAAATCTATTTATTCCAACAAATGAATCTGAAATTAAGCACATTTATTGAAGTTACACGATGCCCATGTCAACAGCATGTGTTTATTGCTGTGATCTACAGGTAGCATTAGTCAGAAGCATTCAGAGAGGTGGTCACATTCCAAAGGCAACCCTGCACAATGATGGGAGAAGTAAATGCCAATGTCACATGACTGAACTACAGCTATTCTTTGCACTTGTTTTTAATTCCTTGCCACAAAACCCCCCCACAACTAAAGCCAGAACCCAGTTTGATTTTCCAGGCAAATTGAGCAAAACAGCCAAAGATATGCTTTATAATTTCAGCATTTCTGTTAAAACTGGTAGTTACTAAAGAAATATTTTGTCTTTTCTAGTTGTTTTGATGTTGATGCCTTTATTTTCCCCCCATTCAGTAAGCCCAAAGATGCTTTATAGAACCATGGAGGAAAACATGCAGTTTCCTAGATTACTTCTTCATGGCAGTGTTGCTCTTCTTGCAGGACCCTAAGTTGTTCTTACATAATCACAAAATAGCAGAAACAAAGGAAATTCCATCTCTGGCACTGACACGCTGATTAAAAAAACCAACTTCTCTCTCTACCTCACAGAATAGCTTCACTTCTTTGAGTAGTGAAAATTATTCTTACCTTCATCATAGGCCACATCAAAAATGACTGCAATAAAGATACAGCAGTTTCATTTGTGTGTGTGTGCACAGACACACAAACATACACTTAAGGATGCGTGCGTATGCATTCTGAAACAACATCCAACACCACTATTTCCTATCAAAGGCAACAATTTTAAAACTACCTAGTTGTGAGCCCAAATCAGACAGACACTTAAAAAAGTGAACCAATTCTACTTACCGCTGGCAGAGCAAAGAAAGATATAGCAAATACTGAAAAACAGGAAGCTACTGTCTTCCCAATCCATGTCTGGGGAACTTTGTCTCCATAACCAATTGTTGTGACTGTTACCTAGGCCAGAAACAAACACCTGATTCACTGCAATGCAGTACCTTTTTTCCCTAAATGTAGGAAAAAAAGAAAGGTAGAAAAAAAAGTAGAGAAGTATCGGGAGATACATACAGATCAACAGTGTTTGGATTTTTGCGTAAGAAATCACAGGAGTATGCTAAACATCACCACAGCTTTACCCTGTTTTCACATTCTTCAGCAGGCATTCATGACTGGCCACTGCTTTGGATGGAACAGTAGGCTGGACTCGGGATGATCGTTCTCACAGTTTGTAGCTGACTGCTTCCACCTTCCCAAAACTGTAAGGACTGGCTTATGTGGGCTTGAAACCATAGGCTTGCAGTTTTTCTACTTTTGCTTTAAAATGTAGTTCCACAGGGTTGAGAAGAAAGCTTTGAAAGCACTGCCTCGCACACAACCAATGCAGAGACATCTACCAAACTCTGTAGTCAGGCAGGGACACTAGCTGTAGGAGGGTAAGTTATGCACTGTGCTGGCAGGAAGTGAAAGGGACAGAACTAACACCATCCCAGCTGAATCTTCATAGCAGGAGAAGGAACACACAACCATTCCAGGACACTTTATCTCCAAAAGTAAATATGCTAGTAGACCAAGAGCTAAATACAGCTGAGCCCCATGCTTAGCTTTTATTCCTCATGCTACAAACACAGTTCTTTGCCACTCAAAATTGTGCTTAAGCCATAATATGCATTCATAATACTGTACTTGAATCTGCTCATTACTTGTTAGGGTGCAGCAAGGGTCAGGCAGCCTCGAGTTAGGAGAGATAATGTAGCCAGCAGGGCAGTGCCCCCCCCCCCCCCAGTCAGGACTCAGTCCCACAACATCCAAACAAGACAGGTGCAAAAAGCACAGCCACGTCCAACCAGAAGTCCAAATTGTAAAGCAGTATCTAAGCAATGAGGCAGGTCCAACACCAAACCAGAAAATCCATCCATCAGGCCCAGTGGTCAGCAAGTAGGTCCACAGCGATGAAGTGGAACCAAGATAAAGCCAGTAAGTCAGCCCAGGGACCAAAGTCAGGATCAAAGGCCTCCACAGCCAAGCAATAGCTCTAATTGAGCTAGAGATCCACTCTCCCCCAGCAGAGTGCTGAGCTTAAATAGAGCCCCTGGGTGTGGGTGGAGGCCACAGGTGATGCTGGTCAGGGTCATGAGGACAATTAGTGCCCCCAGGGCCCTAACAACAGCCTCCCCTCTCAGCAAGGCCTGTCCTCACACAGGTCTGCGATCAGTATCACTGGGAGGGGTGGGCAGTAGCCTTTTCCAGGGCACAGACACAGAACAGGGACAGCTAACTCAAAAGGGACATTGCATCAGCAACTCAGGGCTTGAGGGGGACAGGCCACCCCTGAAAAGCCACATAGGAAAGGAGGGCTTGAATGGGACAGAGGTTTTGGGTTGTTCCTGATGACCCCAGCAGGCTGGAAGAGAATTCATTAGGAGCCCAGTGGTCAGTAAAGGGTTGGTGCTGTGGGGGGGATCAGAGTCCATGTGAAGGCTGGTCCCTCAGAAGGGTTTGTAATGTAACAAGGGCCAGCTGCTCCCCAAGGGAAGGTGATCCCAAGGAGGCATCCCAGGGCAAGCCAAGGGAATCCCACAGCTGGCCAGACAGGGACCTCACCACCCTGGGCCCAGCCCCACAGCAGGAGAGACTCACAGACAGTGGCCATGTCCAACAAAGAGTCTAAATCATAAGGCAATATTACGGTGATGAGGTAAGTCTGAGGTCAAGTATGGAAGTCAGCCCACAGGTTGAGTTCCACATCACCAGACCATTGCTGAGCTGCAGACCAGCTCTCCTCCAGCACAGCTCAGGCAGGGACTAAGCACCCAGGGCTGAGCTTAAATAGAGCCCCTGGGCCGTGGATGTTGTGGGTGGCCTCAGGTGTGGCTGGTCAGGGCCATTAAGGGCTTTTTAGCATACTGAGAGCCCTGACACTGCCATAATAATGGTATGACAAAGATGGCTTGCAGCCCTGAGAAGCGGAAGGCTTCTGGTGAGGAAATGAAGAATTCTGTCACCAATACCAACCACTGGGAAGAGCATTAAATAGAAAAAGCGTACTTCTATTTGGGAGTATCAGCCCTACATCCAGTTCCACTCCCTTCACTTTGCCTTGAATGGTAGCAGAAATACAGCCAAAACAGACTTAAAAGAATATATAAATTTACACTGACTACAAAAGAGGATGTGGAAATACTGCCTTTTATGGGAAAAGCTGCTGGCAAGTACTTGGATAATATGCAAAAATAGGCTTCTCTGAAGAACCTATCAGCAGTAAAGGCATGGGAAGAATACTGAGAGCAGTTCTGCAAAAAGCTGGAAGGAAGATTTGCAGGGGAAAAATGACCAACTACTATCAAACTAAGTTTTTCCAAGTTATAAAAAAAATTAGGCTTGTGTTTATTCATCATGAATTTCTCACTTGATGAAGTCAACTCTGTAGTAGCTGTATCCTCTAATGAATATTGTTATTTTGAACTGCAAACTGCTCTCAGCAGGAGCCCTATCTTGCCAAGGGTCTGTCCAGATTTAATGTGGCTTGCCCATGAAGTGACTCAGGTGCTGTGTACTACCAGCAGTACAAACAGATGAGTTTGCCAGCCCCTAAAATTAAAGCAGGACCCCCACCCCCCCCCCCAGCCCCAATTCAACTTTGAAATGCAGTACGTGTTAGTGGGGAGTGGAGGAAGTTAAAGCAGTGTTTCTTTAAGGCACTTCAGCTCCTCAGTGCACCCAGATGACCTCAAAGTCTGGGATTTTTCCTTCCTTTTCCTCTCTTCTTTTCTTATGAAAGGCTTCTTGGTTTTTTGTGGGTTTCTTCTTTCCTTTTTTTTTTTTTTTTTTTTGACTTCTGCAGCGCTCAGGACTTAAAAACAAACTGCTGTAATGTTGAGCTGCCTTAGCGTTACTATGGAAGACAGCATGAAAGCTGTAACCACAGAAAAGATGATTTTCCAACTGTACAGCAGGCATTTGGCTGGCAGATTCCTGCAGGTGCCTGAACATGTCTCAGAAAGTTTCTCCCTGGCTACCTTAAGAGGGTTCCTTCTTGGTAATCTAATTAGTGCATTGAAGTATGTGGAAAGGATTATAAATAATGTAATTCTCTGGCTTTCTTAATTACAACCAGAATCTTTTTCTATTTGTATATCCAAAAGTTATCAGTTATCTGCTCAGAGAATGTTTAATAACTATGCTGTGGAAAATGACACCACCTTCTTACTACAGATTTACTATGGCACATTCCAGCTGGTATGCACATGCTCTAATGCAGGCTCTGAAAACATATATGGACACTTCAAAAGAGGAAGAACTCTAATTAATAGAAGTCAACAGAGCTTCTCACATGCTTTAAGATAGGTGGGTGTCCTGAAGTTTGAAGAATCAGAACTGTACTCCTCAAAAAACCATCTTAAATATAAAGGGGTTCAAACTGCGCTACCTCTGCCATGGAAATTTACTACTGGAAATTCTGAGCAATCGATCCCAAGCACCTCTGCCAGTTAACACCAATTTACTGGAGCGACTGTTTAACTCAAGTTCAGTAGTACAGAATAGTCCAGTTTGCAGCAGAACCAAAAAGCATTATCAACAGCAAGAGATGAGCATGAAAGGGCCAACAGAAGAGAAGCCTCCTACATATTGTCCTTCTTTCCTCAAGAAAAAATACCCAGAAAGGACAGAAAAATTGCTGTGCCATGGGTTGCAATTCTGGCAGACTGACAGTGCTGTTGGAAATGTTTTTGCATGTATTCTAACATGCTACAAATTCTGGAAGTGGCTTCATATAAAATACCACAAGCCTTTGATATATCTTTGCAGTTTAATCTGTGCGCCTGCCAAATTAGGTGAAACAACCTTGCGTTTGACTGGAGCAGGTAAATGTAGTTAGCATTTAATTCCAACTCTCATTCAATCTTTATTTTCCCTTTTCTTCATATTTAAACCATTCAGTTCATTTGTATCAAGTTCAGCAAGCTTGCATTTTCTACTCAAAGCAAAATATTACCCATAATACACCCTGTGGTTTTTGTCAGACACATAAGACTTTCAAATACTTGCTACCAAGATTTTTTTTTTTTCCTATGGTTCAGTTTTGAAAGGCAAAAGTGAAATCAAATTTCATTCCCTAGTAACTCCACATCTGTGTTTCTATGTTACAGAAGATTTGAAAAGAAAAAGAAACTGATTCACTTTGTCCTTTGTCACTGTTCCCAGCTGTGAACTGCACCTGCACCGTGACTCACTAATGCTGAGGAGGCCTAGACGTCTGGAAAGCTTAAACAACAATTTAAACAGTGTTCTTCATGTGCCTTACACAGCTAGCAAAAGACAAAGCTGATTTTATCTTGCTATTAACAATCAAGTTAAACAAGTTATAAACAATCAAGTTTTGGAAAACAACAACAAAACCCATTGAACACTTTGCGAGGCATATACATACACTTTGAAATACAGATTCCAAGTCATCTAACTCAACAAGGTAAAGTAATGCACATTTAAAACTTATTTGTTGGTCTTCATAACTGAACTCCTTTTAAATTCCTTAAGACCAAAATTTTAACAAAATATGTATGCATAAACACATCCTGTCCTTAATTTTTTTACTCTTTACTCAAATCAAGACTGTAGCTTCTAGCATTTAAAAATATCTTGTAATCCATATCTAAACATTCAATGCAACTCAAAGCAAGCTCTGGATAACTAGAGCTAAAAAAATAAAAAAGAGGGAAAGGTAGAAAAAGCACACTGGCATTACATGGAAGATTTATTACATGCAAGAATATACATGGACAGAACTGGATGCTAAAAATCATAGCTAGTTCTCAAACTGATGGCTGAAAATTTTTTCTTGTTTTCCACTGTACCTTGCTCCCCTCAGTTTGATAAGGAGTTTGTCTTCCTTTCCATTCAGATCTGAATTTGGACATTTCTGGCCTTTTGCAGTTACAAGCCTAGGAATTACTTTTATGAAGCACCAAAGATATTGTGCAGAGCAAACATGAATCACCATCTTTTAATGATTACAAATTACACTAAGACATCCTTATTAATAAACTATATGCTTTCCATTTCTTTCACTGGTGTCATTGTCATTCACATGGTGCTAAAAACCTCTTCAGAACTTCACTATGCTAGAGAAAATTATGACATATTTCTCATAGATTTAGCTGAACTAGCTCAAACTTTTATGGGAGCCCCTAATTCTGCTGAAGTTCCCACAAGCAGCCCCACTTTTAATTAGATGTACTTCACAGACTATTCAGCTAGACCATTAGTAAAAACAGAAACAGTAGCTACGTTCCACTGCGTTCAGTCATTTGAACACTGGTATTTGAGCTGCACTGCCCAAATAATAGCAGAATAAGTGAGCCTGTGTACTGGTTCATTTTCTTAAAGGAGACAAGGAGTGTCTTTCAAAATGTCAATCACACCCTAATTGTTTTACTTTTGCTTTTAAAATATAGCACAGCCTGTGTTTCTGGGATATTTATTCATAACCTCTAGCTAGTAGAGGTTATCTCATGTCTATAACCATGAGGTTTTATGTTCTGAAAATTTTATTGTATGTCTGTTGAGGACTTCAACAAGTGATTGTCATATGGACTAGTTCATGGTTTTGCTTCTTACTGGCATATTAGATAATCATCTGGCTATTTAGTAGATTTTTCTTTTTTACTAGATTCTTCTTGGTCTGTACTGTTTTGCACAGCCATAGGTGATACTCTGCAAATGAAATGAATACCTGACAACCTAATGACAGGAATTTTATGTTTAAAAGATTTTTAAACTGAACCACTTAAAAAGTGGTAACTCAGGGTACATGTAATATAATCTATATTTCTCTATAATTCATTGAAGTTGAGGCTTATTGAACATCCAAGTTAAGGATTAGAAACATCTATCTATTAGGAACTTTTTGTCTGTCTTCCCAGACTTACTCACCAGTTTATTTGGATACAAATAAACAATTGGTTTATAGCCTAATAACTATATTGGCATTTTTCAAGTCTATCATCTAAGAACAAATCCAGTTTATTGTGTTTCAAATCACTCTCAAAATATATCCTTCTCTCTCTGGAAGTTGGTGGCTCCACATCTGTTCTAGTCCTCTCATTTTCCTTTGTCACTAACACTGATGTGATGAATCTCCCTGCATTTGTTATAATGAGACAGCCAACTCATAAAAAATATATGAGGTTTTCTAGGGGAAAAGGGACCACAAGAGAAGAGATGGTTCATGCAACAGCTAATAAGGAGGGAAAGCATGAGTCACAGTGAGAAACATTATAAGAGCCATATGAAGGGAGTGTAGAAACAATTTGGTCTCTTATTCCGTTCATAGCTATCTATTTCATTTTCAACTGATTCTGGGCATGCACACAATAATTATCACAATGCTCTCATAATCCCAGTTCCCCCTTAATGATATTTTTTTCTTTATTTCACTAAAGATTTGCACAGACCCTGACTGATGATTGATATCCAAAGTAGTTGATGAATCTGGGAAGCTTTGCCAGCTGCTTTTGATGGAGCTATTTACCTTTACAGTGAATCATGGGATTATTAAGAAAAAAACCAGGAACCTGTATCCTGCACCAAGGTCTGCAATACTACTGAGAGAGTGAACTTTACACACACAAAAAAAAAGTCATTAACCCAAACTCCACAAATATAAAATGCTTTTAAAGTTATGCACCTTTTGCAGATAATTAAGCAGAGTTTAAAAGAAGTCGTATAGATTTTGGAGGGTATTTATACTCTTTTTTAAATGTGGAGTTCAATGTGGACTTTTTGTGTCTGTAAACAAAAAGTCCTTTGCTAAGGACATGCTATCATGCTTTCATAATAAAGTTTAATATAAAAATAATTTAATTGTATTTATTTTATTTTTTCTTGTATCTTTTTAAAAATGTTGTCAAGCTTCCATACGGAAATATATTCTACAAAAAAAAGAAATGCCAGATTTTTTAAAAATATCACAACTGCAACAGAAAATCTTGTACTCTAAGTTTGTGTGGGCATATTGTTGGTAAAGACTTACCACACCCCACCAAAGGGCATCGGCATAGCTGGAGAAACCTGTCTTTCCATCCTCATCAACTGCATCCTTCTCAGCAAGATAAACAAAATAGGATGAAAAGATTAATCCCAAGAATCCAATGTACAACGTCGTTATGAGTTCCTATTAAAAGAGAAAGCAAACAAGTACATAAGGGTTGCATCACATGTATTCTATCATTGTAAAACATTGTAAATATCTGGAGGTTTTTTGCATCACAGTAGAAAAATTAATAAGTTATATTTCGGGTGTGAAATTTGCCTCCACTAAAACAGGTAGTTCAGTGACTTGTTTTCTATTCATATCAGACAACAGAATTCAAGGAGAAGCCATCATTTATACAAAATCATTTGGACAGCTAAATGTAGGGTGAGACACCTCTCCTGTTTTATGTCTTGTGAAAGGGAATCATTCCATTTAACTGTCCACTCAAAATACAAAATGTTAATACATTTTAAAAATATTAAAACAGCTTTAGAAATGCACTTTATGAACAGTATGCTAAAATAACAGTTAAGAAATAACAACCATGTCTTGTGATTATGACCATATCTAAGCAATGAACTTGTGTATCTGATACTTAGATTGCTTAAGACTGAATATTGATGCTCTAACAGCTTCATGTTAAGATAAAATAAAATCTTAAAATAAAATATGTTAGGTAGGTGTAACCTCTACTTCAGTCCTGATAAACAAAGACTGAGTATAGGCCATTTTATTAGAAGTGACTTTTATTAAGGCATGATACAGAGCTTGTGAATGTACCAGTTTCTCTATCGATTTTTTAGATAGTGAAGTTGTATCAGAACCAATGTGATTTAGATGCAGGATTATTACAGTCTGCAGGAAAAATGTGCTTGTGCATCTAAACAAGCCAAATTTTGTGGTGTCACAGATGCAAAAATGTGTAAAGCTTATAAAAACAGTGCTACATCATAATCAAATGAGATATCCACCTGCCCCTCAGGAAAATCCAATACCTAGTTATGAGGGAAGATAGCTTATTTTAATCACTTAAAGTTTACAATGCTTCAATAGATAACGCATATTATATTCCTTTATTTTCTTTGCACATGTTTAACCATCTTTATTATGAAACATTGTAGTACTACATATTCATTGTCATCTTCCTTAAATTCTTGACAGAGTTATTTTTCTTTCCTTGGATTCAAACCAGTCCAGGAATTAAAACATTCCCATAAGAGAAATCTGAAATTAAAACCTGCCTAAGAAGGATTGCCTCTATAAAGTATGTCAGGTTTTCGCAGATTTTGTGTAACATTCTACCCACACTTAAACTGTTTGTGAGGGAGGGTTCAGGTTTTATCATCAAACTTCCTTCAGGTTTTTTTTGTTTTGGTTTGGTTTTTTGTGGGGGTTTTTTGGTTGGTTTTTTTTTTTTTTTTTAATCTTTCTTTTCATTTCCTTGCAAGAGCTTTCTGGAAAACATAGCTCTGGTAGGTAGTAACTGCATTAAGCAACAGGAATTATACATACTTTTCCTTCTGCTATAGCATTAATTAAAACCTAGGTTCAGCAAGCTTTTAAACAATCTTGGCACAAAGCAAAGTAGGTGTTTTCTCTCTAATAATTTAATAATGACCTAAATAACGAATTCTGATAGTATTCAGTTTTACCCGTGGGCATGTCTTTTAATCTAAGCCCTAACTTTTTGCAGGCCTGTTAGCTAAACAAGGCAGCTGAAAAAATAAATAAAACTTGGGGTTTCAGTAATTCAGATTTCTATGCTGGTCACCATTCTTTTCTCATCTCTTTCTCTAATGCTAGTGGTATGCTGTGTACTTCTTGTAGATATGATTTCGTGGCTCTGAAAAGTTCCTTGTGTTTACATTTATAGTTGATCATTTGCATTTCTCTATTTTTTCACACCTTTTTGATTTGCCTACACAATATTTTTTCAATGCAAGATGAAAACATTTAACACCTGAGACTTAAGGTCAGTGATCCATAGAAAACTACAACAGAAGTAGAGACTAATTCTTATTCCCTGCTGACAAAGAAAATACGCTGCTTTTATCCCTAGTAGGTTTCTGACTTCCTACCACATCAATAGAGATCTTTTAGTTACACACTTGGCACGTTGCTTACATCTCAGATATTAATTGATTTTACATGTTATTGAGGAATGGCCATCACTGCTTTATTTTAATTTTGTCTCAGAGGACAGAATTAGAGAGTGGATGATAATTGGAATACTTCTGTGTTAAGCACTGGCTTTTTGAGAAGGGGGAGAAAAACATGCTTTTCAGAAGTGCTATGCACAGTCTTATGAGATCTTTTCAAAGAGGCTGAAATATCAACAGAACTGCTCAGGTTATTTCACCTTGGCACCTCTCAGGTCCAGTCCTATTCATCTAAAGACTGGACTCTTGTTAAGTAAAGCCCAGATGCAAATGTAATTGCTTTAGACTTATTCTAAATGTCACTCCATGTTACATATTTATTGAGAGACAAAATACTACATGCCTATATTTAATTATTAAGAACAATGGCAGCAATCTAATACATATGGTATGGAGGAGGGAGCACAGAAGATTTTAAAATAATATGTGCTTCAAGAAATATGGATAGAGTGATGTCTACCAATGTGCCTACGTGATCTCAAAGCAAAGAGTGTTTTGCAGAAATCAGGTCTTAAAACTTCACATTGATATGACTTTTTAGTGGATAGAAGCTTAAGAATAGAGTGCTGCCTAATACAAATGACTGTTTTCAGCAAGGGCTTTCAGATACATATATGCAAAGGAAACAGCAACAAAAACCAAATGTACACAAAGGTAAATTTCAATATTGAGAGACTTGAGTCAACACATTGTTTTAACTTAGACAGATTTATATTCTCAGTTACAATAAGGACTACACAATATAAAATTCAACACTTAGGAAAAATAAAAGAAAACCCCAAATCTACAACTCGTCAGCAACTCCCTCCCCAAAGCAGCAGAAGACCTCAGAAAGCAAGGTAAGGAATAAGTAAAACTAACTGAGAGGCTTACAAGCTGGAGCTGGATTAGCTAACTCAGTTTTTCAGTAAGCCTCATTATTTTTCCATGTCTTTCCATCACCACATGTGATATTGACTCATGTTTTGTTGCTTTTGGCAAGAAAAGCTTGTATAAGCTCAACCTGCTGAAAATAGAAGAGCATCCTAGCCAAATCGGGCCTGAGTGAGCTAATGCAGCTATATGTAAAATTCCAAAACACATGGAAATCATTGGTGACAACTTTAGTAAGCTCTTCTGGGCTTGCAGAGGTCCAAGTGCTTGTTATTTTCACAGGTCACAGAGATAGGAATTTATTTTCTGACATTGTTTAAGGGTTTAGGGTCCCATTTTTTCTGAAAGATTATCAAGCTCAACAAATAAATGAGGACCTTGTACTCTGCCTGTAAAGAAAAAGCAGCTGAGGTGTTTTTGTTTTGAGTCTTTTTAAAAACAAAAAAAATTTTTAAGAGACTGGACAGGAATAAAGGTTCCATTTTCCCTTCCGTTTGGTACCAAGCTAGGATTTCAGCTACACTTGTCCAATGTCAATATGGAACTATGTGTTTGATTTTATTTTTTTATATTAACGTGTTAGTGGGTGATCTGCTTTGACAAGTACCACAGATCTGTAGAGTTTTATATATCGTCATAATCACTTCTTTGGATTAGCAGAACTTTGGGTGCATTTATTCATAAATTCACTTCTCCAAGGTAGTTTTTTTCCTTTTAAATCATTGAACATATTTATATTTGTGACATTTAAGACTTAAGTGTTATATTTTGGAGATAGTATTTCTAGATTCTTGACTAAAACTCTGAACACCCATAGGAAAAATTTTCTCAAACACCTCTGTCAGTAAGGTTAGCAAATGTTGATAAAGTGTATTTGGATACCAGCTCTGCCCTAGCTAGATATCCAGGCAATGCGACTGTAATAAATGAAGACCACAGAGACTTGGACCATTAAAAGTCATCCTGTTGTACAGGATGAAATAAGCTTTATACTAGAGCACTTTGGAGTGCATCAATGCTGCACAGCCAGCGTGACGTAAAATTTCCTACGGTACTGGGGGAAAAAAATAAAGGGAAGAAAAGTAACTTTTAATATTAAATTCATCTTTTGGATTAAGTACCTCCCATTCTCTGCCCCAGAACAACAGTTTTCTAAATAACAAATGAAACAATGTCTGTGTGGAAATATATAACTATTTATCAATATCTGGAGAACAAATCTACACTCAAAGAGCAGGTTAAAGAACCATGCCTACAATCTTACAAGTAAGATTCATAGCACAGTATTGGCCCTTCACAGTATGGTATGATATACAAGATTTTAAAGGTTAATGATAAAAGTTTATTTTGATATTCATAAAGCTAAGTTGGCTTTTCATTTGGAGATTCCATGAGGCCCCAGAAAGAAGTCTTCAGTGCCTAATTTTTAAAAGTCTGCACTAAAACACATAAGCTTTTCCTGCTTAATGAACTTTTATACAGAATAACTGCTTCAAAGCTTTAACGGACATATAACTATTTACAGCCAAGTTTACCTCTGTAACTATACCCTTGAAAAAGTAACTTTGATTGCATATTATCATAACATAGTTAGTGTTTTTATTTATAGAATGGATTAGAAATCTCCTTATACAAGCAGAGAAAATAAAATATTTGAAATAATTGACTTGTTCTATCACGGATTTTCCACTAGTATTTGTTTTTTCACATAACAACCAAGCTAGGAACAAATCTTCTGTGAAGACAGTGGACAGTATTTGCAATATGAAAGGCAGCCCACATCACTGCATTTAATAAATTATATTGAAGGATAACACCAAAGAGTACAACAGTTAATTTCCAAAGAAATACTGATGCTGATACCCTATTAGCCACTGACCTGAAGTAAAGAATAGTGTTCCCATTTTAGAAGTAGAAAGAAGCACATGAGGACTTTTAAAGAATTTTTTTCACTTGGAACAGTAACTGTTCTTTTATACCAGACTATGATTTGAAGTCCATGAAAAGAATATACTAAAGTAAACAAAATGCTGGGGATCTTTAAAGATCTAGTACCTGACGATGTATGAAAACAACTGATCCTAATAGTCGCCAGGTGCCACCCTGTCGATCTACATGAAGCATGCGAAGTATCTGGAGAAACCGGATCCCCCTGTACGAAAAATAGGACATTAAATAAAACTAATGATTGAGAACAATAGTGCTCTAGCTATACAGAGTTGACTCTACTCACTAGCACACTGCCATGTTAGAGAACTGTGATAGTATTGCCCCTGGCTAGAGTTGCATCTTAGACTTGAGGCATCTCAGTAGACAGTATGTTTAGATCACATTTCATCATATTCAAATATATTCAGAAATATTGACTAGGACAACAGTTATTTAAAAGAAAAACAAACAAAAGAGTTTAAAATGTATGCTTTCAAACGCAGAGGAAACTTGCATATTTTACCTGATTATGATTCTCAAATGCTTCCTTTCCAAGCAAAACCAGTGCTTCAAGCTTTGTTAACATAACTATGAGCAAACTTTTTTCTCTATTTTCCAAAAGCAGAATGTGAATCAAACATGGTATTACTGAAGTCCTATTTCTGTAAGTTATAGAAATCATCTGATTGGAAATAGATATAATCTTATGTGATTTTAGGACAATAACTGAATTATAAACTCCAAATATTTTCAACTAAAGAAAAATAATTATCCATATGGTTCTTCAGCAGAATTTCATTCAATGGAAATATTTCATTCCAGTCACCCCTTCAACAATGAACTTTGTTTGCCTACACTCATCTTACTAACTTATCACTGAAACAAAAGAGTGAAAAGCAGGAAAGGATGAATGTTGAATTCATCTATCTGAAAATTTTTCACTAAAAAGTATTATTCACTAGAAGTATTTTTAGCTCTTTTTAGCTATCCTTAAAATTTTGTTATTGTTTTTGTTTTTTAATTAATTCAATCTTCTTATTTCAGTTCCACTGTGGCTGCATTTTTCTGGGTTCCACCAACAGGCAGGAAACTCAGCATGGTGCTGTCCTCAATCACTAGGAAGGCATACTGTCTTCTGAAAGACCCAACTTTTCCTTTATTCAGAAAGCAGGTTTTCTGAGCTTTAACAGCTGATAGTCAAATGATCAAATGCTTGCCATTTTTTTGGAAAGCACACCATAATCCTGATTATCAAATCACGTATCAGTGACTGGGTATATGAACACCACATTTTGTTATTTCTTTGATATGCCTTTGGAATAATAATTGTAATTAGCTGGAAACTTTAAAATATCCACTTAAAACCTGTTAATTAAAACATGAGTCCAAGAAGAATTACAAGACTACCAAATAGATGAGCACCAATAGACTTACATAATGTAATAGCTCATTGCTTGCTTATGTCAGGAGGGGAGAGTTACATGTAGCTCCCCTGTACAATTATCAGACACAACTCCTGATGCCTTGGCCCAATGGCAGTTCTTGATTTTCCTGTCTCTGTTGTATCTGAGATGATTATGGCTATGTTACTGCCAAGTGCTGACATGAATGTTAGAGGCTGGCAGTTTTACAAATACAGATTTAAAAAACAAGATAGTGAACAAGAAACTCAAGATACATGAACATGTGAACATGCACAACCCATTTCTGCTGAAAAAAGAAATTGGGTGGAAAGAAAACCATTTTTATCAATTTGGTGAACTTAAAACAGTTAAGGACAGAAGTCTGTAGGACTCTGCTGTGAACTCTGCAGTGCTTCTAGGTTTCAGTCTCACTGGTTGCTGCAGGGATGAAAATGTCAACCTGTCATACCTGATGGTCCTGGAGCTCGCAACTTCATTCTACAAGAAAACAACCTAACATGCGTGCACCCATGCTTTCTGAGATTGCTGGGATTTAAGAGAGGTCCAAAGAGGACCATAACAGTATACCTTAAAAGCAACAAAAGCAAAAAGGCAAGGATACAAGATTAATTACTTCTTAATTCAAAAAACAGCCACTCACATCACAGTTCTGAGGAAACCTGATGGGACCAAGACTTGCTTGACCCAGATAGTTGTTCAATGGGGCAAAAACAACACTGCAGAGATGTGGCTTAAGTTTCTCTGGCAGAAAGCCAGAGCTGTAGGACAGTGACTGTATAACACCAGGAAAGGCTGCACTGAGCCCAAAGCCACCTGGGTTCACATATAAACAAACAACGGGGCTTTTCATTAAAGTTCTTCCTCCACTTCTAGTTAAATTAAACAAAATCTTTGGAATTTTCACATTCACCCTCCTCTTCCTTTATATGAGCTGATGAATCACATTCATGCTGCCTGTGTGAGTCTTTGCCGTCATGTAAGGATTAACATTCTACGGTAATAGTTACCTTAAAAATACTTTGTACATGTAGTTCCCTCCCGTGTTTGCCTACACAGCTAAACAGTTTAGACAGTACTGTACATTCTCACTTCCCAGTGATTAGACTGCATTGGAAATCAGAGGCTTGTAACAGAACATGCGGCACATCTTGCAAGTTAAATTAGAAGGAATGGGAAGTACACCTACTCTGCTTATCATTCCTTTCTTCTATTTACCCACTTCCCAAAACAAGCTTGCAGTATTGATGCAAGCTGAACAAACAATGTAGACATCAAATGTTTCTGGTTCATGTATGGTATGAGTTGCTTATGCCAAACAAATCCACCAAAGCATAATTACTCTTTAAACAAAGTAATTACTTGTACTCAAAAAGTACCAAGTTAAGTGCTGCCTGGATTACTTCTTAAATAAACCGATGTTCTGTAATACCCTTTTGTCTCAGAAAGATCTGTTTGAAGTTTTATATAGGACATAATGTTTCTTTAGTTTTTTCCTCTTGGCTTCAGCACTCCAACCAGTCTTCACATGCCTTGTTTCTGTACTCATTTCCCAGCCAGTGACCAAGCACAATAACACACAGTCTTCCACTGTCCAGTGTTTCAATAGAATAACTTTCCCTATATTAGGAAAATTACATATACACCTCATTTGGAAATTGGGAAATTAGATATGCATCTAATATAGCTCAGTGTTTGTGAAGAGCTACAGTTACTAGAAGAACATACCTTATTGCAGAGGTGGCAAACACCTGCCCATTGGATCCTATGCTTAGAACAATAATTGAGGCTACTACCACAATTAGATCTGTTAAAAAAAAAAAGAAAGAAAAAAAAAAAGAATGTATTAAATGTCAGCTCTCAGCACTGAAAACACAACAAATAGAGACTGAGGAAAGCACTTTAAAAAAAGAAATTAAGTTAGCTGAAATTTGGTGGGCAGTAAGTTAATGTAACAGTTTCCATCAAAAAACCAATGACTACAGTTTCTTCCATGCTGAATTTCATAATGGAAATTTTAAAGATCCTGACAGATCAGGCAGCTTGCCACAAAAACAACAAAGGCAAAGGCATATATACACCATAGAAATGAATTCACATTTTGGCTCAAAGCTCTTGATTTAAGAGGGAAAGTAAAGGCTTGCTTCGATCAACAATGAAATGCATAAAGTCAAGTATCATACACATGTACACACACATACACTTAGATTAAAAATTGTATCAAAGCTGTAACACCAAACTTTCAAAGTTTAGGGAACTGCCAGAGCAATGGTTGCTTAAAAAGAATCAGAGTTGTTGGTTCACTTTGTGATACAGTCTTTAATTATATGAAAATATAATTGTTTCCAGAGTTCCATTTTTTTTTCCCCACAACTCCACATTTTACACAGTTCCAGCATTATACAATGCAAATGATGGATTGTGTTCACAATGCCACCACCCCTTACTGTCTCTTATCCTTGTTCAGTGAATAGGTCTATTGCTTTTATATTATTGAACTTGAACATTATTCTGAGAATACATTTTTCTAATTTCCTCATGGGCATTTCAGTGGTAATCCTCTTTAGAGGATTCACTTTCAAATTCTAACCAGAAAATAAAGGATAGTTTTATAAACGGGTAGCAAACATAGACAGAATGAGGAAAAGTTTTGGTAAATTCTCCTTGCCAGCTTTAAACAGGCAGTACTTTATTCGTCAGAGCACTTAACATTATATAGCACTTCAAAAAAAACTGTGCCTGCTGACTTCACTTGCAGCTGTGCGAGCTCAGAACCTCTATAACCTGACTTCAAAGTCTTCATTTGGACATCCAGAAAGTGAGGCACACTTGTGAAAACTGATTTAAATGACTGCCACAGAGTTTCTGTGTGATGCCTAGGCAAGATGCAGGACAGAATCCAACTTCAGAGGCAACAACAGTTGCCTTCAACAAGGGTAACTTCTTCCTCTCTTTTAAGCATTCTGCCTCATACACAACCATGTAGTTGCTGTAGCAAATATTGCAGCAGTTCTATAACCAACAGCATCCTTCACTCTCTGACTTGGATTAATTGCCAGTATCAGCCTGATTTTTGCTGGAAAAGCAGGATTCTTCCCCAAGGGACAGCACTCAGTCAGTTTAAACACTGTACTACAATAATTGTACATTTATGAAAATGAAAGTAAATGTAGGGAGGGATAAGTTAAGGCTACAGAAAGAGTTTCCATTTTGGGACAATCTAAAATTTTGAGTACTTGACCTTCCAAATTTTTTATGCTGTTCCTTTATCATATATGTTTGTGAACATACATTTGTAAGCACTCAGAATTTAGGGAGGGTTTTCTTCCCATCACATCATAATACAGATCTTTGCCCTTAAGCAAATGATCCACCTGATGTCCTTACTAAATTATCAGACATATACATATCCATCCAATAACCATCACTGAAGGGGGAAGAGATCAACACTTCGGAAATGAGTTTCAATCATGTGGTGACAGTAACAGAGATTTTTCATTCAAACTTCCCACTTTTCTGAAAGTGCGTTCTACACAGTAGAGATATTTTACTTCTTTCTCCCCAAACCTGTTGTTCTATCTCTGCTTCTTCTCCGTTCCTAGTTTTCATGCCAGTTTCCAATCTTTAGACTTCTCATACTAATCCCAGTTTACTGGCTCAAATAGTCCTATTTTACACTCTAAATCTTCAGTATATCCTTCTGCCCTTACACTGCCACCTTTCAATCCCACATATTTTCAGCCCCTACTTTTTTCCTTCAATCTCCTGCTTGCTTGCAAGTCTATACGTCCTTCTCCCAGACCCTTGCATCAGCATCTGTCCTCCTGTCATTTCACTGAGCCTGCATGTCCCAGTCCATTCCTCCTAGCCCGCCACTTTTTTTTCAAGCCTGGTATTTTCCCTTTCCATGTGCCCTGGGCAGTTTCAGGAAGAGCTATAAAAACAAAATCAACGGATTTTCCACTTCCAGCCCCAGCACTGCTGCTCAGAGAAACCCGAATTTTGCATTGTGCAGGCTCACTGTAGATTTAATCTTCGAAGAATATAAGAGCATTCTCCAGCAGGGTGTTTTAAGTATACACAAGCTACCAATTTTTCAGAGCCTTGTTAGTCAGTCAGCTTGAGAGTTTATTTTCAGTGACAATCAAAAAAGCTATTTTCTCATTAAATTTCAATTATCTGCTTCAAAGTGTGGAAGTGCTAGTGCTTCTCCATAAGAAATTGCCAGCATTGCCTTTTTCAGGAACAGCTTAAACATTTTGCATGAAATGTCTCCACAAGACTCAAACTGAAGCAGACACTTGGCATGGAAAATATCAGGATAAAGAGCCTACATTTGTTTAAATAACTTTTTCAACTCTAAGAAGCATTAGTATTTAGATTAGCATTATATTAGTATTTATGTTAGTTTATAAAAAAGAAAGCATCAGGAAGCCTTGGTAATGTTAAAAATTGCATTCTAGTAATTTATAAACAGCGATATGTGGATATCCTTCTCAAACAGTCTACCTACTTACATGTTTGCAAACATGTCTGTACATACACGAGGTGTAGAGAGAAAAAAATGAAATAGCGTCTTCTATACAATATGTGCACTACATGTGTAGATGACAGACTTACATAAATCACATTCCCTGCATGTGTAGTACACAGCTTTGAAAACCTTGTCCACTACTAGTCCACTGTCCCTGTGGCTTACTCTGATGTTCTGAATCCTTGAGAAATTCCAAGCAGCTGCCATTTTAATCTAAAAAAAAAATCAGCTTGCCAGTGAAATATTACTTAGTTATGCATAAACTTCAGCACAGCACATAGCCAGCACCTATAATGCAGCTTATATGAGTACTACTTTTTTGGAGAAAATTGCTGACTTGTTTCTAAAATTCTCATAAGTTTACTTTCTAGTACGCAATTCTCAGTTTTTTGATTGAAAGCAATTAATCCTTTTAAATTTTAAAACAGAATTTGTAGTTTAATTTTTAGTTGCCATAGTATTTTACAGAATGTAAATAGCCCTCAGTTTGCAGGTGTGTTCTTAGTAGTGTGGAGATAATATGATGTCCATAAGAACTTAAACAGCTTATATCACATATTTGAATTCAATTTATATCATATCCTTTTTTGCTGAACTTTTGTGTTCTATTGCCACTTCATAAATTAAGTTTATACAAGGTAGCTGGAGCTTTACATACCAGGTGCTAAATGCTTTTTCAGAGCTGTCAACATAACCAATTAAAGGTGCTCATAAATAAACTGCCATTGTCCATTACTTAAGGACAATATGACATGGACACACATTTGTGGACTCAGGTTTTTACACCAGTTACTTGTGCCCCCCTTATATCTTTCAAACTGCATGCTGTCAAAACCAGGAGAAACAAAAGTTAATTCATAAATTCGTTCTCTGTGACATTTTCCGCAACAACAACAAAAGGATGAAAGGTTTTAAAAGGACATTCTCTTGATTTTGCCTGTGCTTGGTACTTGCCTTTCATAAAACCCTAATTAGGCTGGGATTTTTGGAAGCATTTAGCGCCTAACCTAACCCTACTGAAACAGTAAGTAATGGAAGTGTTAAATCAATATTTAGGAAAGGTATCACTATTACTGCTGCTGCCATAGTACACGAGTACCGCAGACTCTTTAAACATGCTCATTCTGTGAACTAGGGAATGAAGAAGCACAGAGAGATGAAGTGATATTTCTAGGGATTCTTAGTATGCAAGGAATCAATTCAATGTATGTCTCCTGACAGGTTCTTTGATTACAGAATTATCTTTTCTTACTTACATGTAATCACCTATAACCTGTCTGCAAAGAGGAGAAAAATAAGACTAACTTTAGAAAATCAACTTAAGAAATAATAAAACATTTGATTTACGAAGTGGAGAACTTGCATCATTTTCCATTTTAGATAAAAGTTTAAAAGACCATACAAGAAACAGTGTGTCCTATTTTAACGTTTTCCTTCTCCAGTTATAGAAGTTGCATGTTAACATACTATTTTATGCAGAATGGAATGCAATAATATTAAGTTTATAAAATAAATTAATAACTAGGCCTGACTATTAAATCTGTTTCTGGTAATAAGCAGCAAAATAATTTTTATTTACAATTAGAGAGGGGTGAAAAAGGAAAGAAAAATTAAAGTTCAAAATTCCTAACTAAGTTGAACTTTCTAAGAATTAATTCAAATTTTAGTGTGGACAAAAACCCACAAAAGAAACCTCTGTGGTATCAAAGACATTTCAATGGTATTTTCTAATTTTAAAATAAAGACTTTTGTATTAATGCAAAAGTAAAATGAATACCTAATTTTTTGCATTTGTTTCTAATCCTTTAATTTCTTTTTCTAGTTTTTGTATTTTATTCTTGTTGATTTGAAAATGATAATGTAAGTCAGTACAATTCTATCATTCACAGCAAATGTATTTCCCAAGTTTAGCTATTTGGATTAGTGCAGACACAGTTCCATCTGCATTTGACATGTAAAAAAAAGTCTTGACTTTAAATGTATTGTAGTCTTAGGGGAATTTTAAATGTAAAAACAGTACTGATACCTTTGAATGCACAACCAGCTGCAGTCATTCTTAGCTTTTCTTAACAAAAACCACTGTATCTTCTTGAAGGGCTATACAAACATTAATGTTTACTGTGGTAGATGCACAATACCAGTATACAGAACCACTATCAAGTTAAAATCACAGTTTAATGAGGCTGCCACATTTTCTCCTGCACCTGTGTATTCTAGTATACTTACCTAAGAAGTATTTCTTAATTGAAAGAGAAGTCAAGAACATGATTGATGGGGGGGGGGGGGGAAGTTACCTATAGGCTTCATGGTTAGATCATGAAACTAGATCAGCTCTAGAAGCAGCTGAAGAATTTTTGTATGTAATGAAACACTTTCTCAATAACCCAAAATTGAATACAGTATCTTGTCACATTATTCACTACTCACACCCCGATGTATAATATCATATGTTGTTTCCTGAGTTTTTGCACCAAGTTTTATAAAGTCACATATGGTTAAGGAAACATCAGCTCATTCTCCTCCCTTTTCACCTCTCCCACTTTGCTCTGTTTAAAACTCAATGAGTTGATATTTGAGTAACATAAAATTTGCAGCTCTACTGGAGCCTATATAAAATCACAGGCTTAAAACAGAAACACTGATTTTACGGTCTACTACAATTTTGTCTGAACATCAACTGCTATTAATCCCTCACTGTTACACAGGTTCTTTTAGTCACCTCTCCCTCTAAACTCTCTCCTACTCCAGAGGTGCTACCCTCAATAGTCCCTCAAACCATCTAAAATTGCTTGAGTACTACCCAGAGGAATTTTTCCTGAGTTCTACTTTGCACATTTCCACGTTTTTCCCAATTTATACTCACCTTTGTGTTTGCTTTCTACAGCAGACCTAAGGAAGGGTTTTGTGTTCAAAATCTCACCAATTTTCTCCAATTACACAAGCAGATTTAGTAACGATTTCTTCACTTTACAATTTCGCCTTTCTTTAACTGATGTCTGCCTGTGTATCACAGCCATATTTAAAATATTCAGTTCTAGCAATCCAAAAGAAGAATTAATTGCATAGCTTCACAAAGCAGAAAAATGCTTGAGTGATAGACATAGCTCAAAACTGCAATATGGTCTCTGCAGTAGTTGACATCTTTACGCTAAAACGGATGATAACAGTGAAGTTAAGGAAAAAAAAAAAAAGAGAGAGTTTAAATCTTACCGATAACTGATATTGGCTTTCTGGCAAACCGTATTCTTCCCTGGAAGCCAACATACTTACTCCTGCAGCCTGCAGACCACAATCGGACCACATATTCAGCACCGAAAAACACAACCAGAACTATTTCCTATCAGAATTAAAAGGACAAAATATCAGGGCTTTTTCATTGAAAGACAGACTACAGTTTGCACATCTAATTTATTCCTATGACTAATACAAATAACCTTGTTGATATGAGCGAAAAAAAAAAAAAGGATTGTGCCTAATCTGTTCACTTTTTATATGTATATGCCAGCCACTACATAAAAGGGAGATGTAATTTGTTCCTGAATGTGATTTGCATGACTAAAAGGATGGCTTAAGCTCCATTCCATCAATATATGATAGGGAAAATGTAATATTATTCTTCTTTTACTTCTTTCAGAAAATTAAAATTCTTAAAGATATTAATAGAGGGAGGCTACAAGCATATCATTCCTAAAACCAACAAGTATATGAAAAATTTCTAGATTAACAAACAGAATTTATAAATATAAACCCAGAATCTATAAATATAAAACTTTGTATATTCAAAGTAGAATCATAGATTCATAGGATATCTCAAGTTGGAAGGGATCCATAAGGATCATAAAGTCCACCTCCCTGCTCCTTGCAGGACTACCTAAAACTAAACTATATGACTAAGGGAGTCGTCCAGACACTCCTTGAACTCTGTCACACTTGGTGCTCCCTGGGGACCCTGTTCCAGTGACCAACCACCCTCTCAGTGAAGAGTCTTTTCCTAATGTCCAATCTGAACTTCCCCTGATGCAGCTTCATTCCATTTTCTCATGTCCTATCACTGCTCACCAGAGAGAGGAGATAAGCACTTCCCCCTGCGCTGCCCCTCTTGAGGAAGTTGTAGACTGCAATGAGATCACCCGCCTTCTCTTCTCCAAGCTGAACAAACCAAAGGACCTCAGCTGCACCTCGTAAGTCTTGATAGTAGATATACCCTCAACAACATCTGCTTTATTTGCTTTCCCCTTCATTCTTACCCCGAGGCTCTCAATTGTGCCATTGCCAACTATAAGTGCCATACAATCAAACCCCTCCCTTACAAACAGCACCACCACCCCCCGCCTCGCCTACCCTGCCTATCCCTCCTGAAAAGCCTATAACCATTCATTGTGGCACCCCAGTCACATGACTCGTCCCACTAGGTTTCATTTATGCCAATGACATCATGGCTCTGGGACTGGGCCAAAGATTCTAGCTACTGTTGTTTATTTCCCATGCTGCGCTCATTAGTATAGAGACATTTCAGATGTGCTCCAGTGTATGCAGCACATCGTGGAGCAGACTGAAGGACCTTGCTAGCACACTGTCCCTCAAACATTGGTGTACCATCCCAAGCTTATCTCTAGCAAATCTGGTTCTATCCCTTTCCCCTTTCAAATCTGGTTTAAAACTCTTTCGATGAGCCCTGCTAACTCCTGTGCAAAGATCCTTTTTCCCCTTTGAGAGAGGTGTACCCCATCTGTTGCCAGCAGGCCTGGTATCACGTAGGCAGACCCATGATCAAAAAGAACAAAATTCTGCTGGTGACACCAGGCTCAAAGCCAGGTATTGATATGCTGGCTCTTCCTGTTTCTTCCCTGCAAAGGAAAGGATAGAGGAGAACACTATTCGTGCTCCTTATTTTTTAACTGGTCATCCCAAGGCCCTGAAGTCTCTGGATGGCCCTTGGACTTCTTACTGCAACTTCATCACTGCCTACATGAAAAATCAATAATGGATAGTAATCTGAGGGCCATACCAGGGTAGGAAGTTTTTTCTTCACATCTTCTGTTGGGTTTGTGCAGCAAGGTTTTGGTAGGGGGGGGGCTACAGGGCTGGCTTCTGTGAG